GTCCGTCGTTTTCCTCTCCTCACCTTAATTTGGCAGCAATTTTCCTGCTCCTACCGCGCCGTTCCGTAATTATCGTCTCTCTCTCTCTCTCTTTCTCAGCTATTTATCTCTCTTTAATATTTGCCATATTTCGTTCACAGTATTTTTAATATCTGTTATTTCCTTTTTTCCTTAATTACCCCGTGCCATTTATTTTTACCCCATCCTTCCTGCTTTGATAATATCCAATTACTCCTCCTCTCGTTACACGTAATCAATGTTTTGTTTAATGCTAAGCCCCATTGCTTCCTTTCCTTTCGAATCTTCCATTCATCCTAACTATTTCTCTCCCTTTATCCTTACATCCATCCATCGTTGTCTCCCTCTCTCCCCCAATGTCCCTGTTACGACCTCACTTAGCTAGTAACTAGGTTCATTTTAACTTTCTATAAGGTCTTAGTGCTTCTTCTTACCAGATCCAATCCGAGTCATAGGTAAGTTATTAGCAACTGAGTAGTAATAGTCAAGCCAACGGGAGCGGGGGTTAACAACACTAAACAAACCATCACCACGTGTACATCTTATCTATATGCAGGCGATGAGTCACAATACCGTGGCTAAAGTATGTTTACCAGATCACACACTAGAAGGTGAAGGGACGACGACGTTTCGGTCCGTCCTGGAAACGTCGTCGCCCCTTCACCTTCTAGTGTGTGGTCTGGTCAACACACTTATCTATATACACTTATTTGTACAACACACAACACCTCAGGTGTCACTTTCACACTGGACACTACAAAAGAAATTCTGCGATCTTCCATCCCGGCGAGTCCATTTCCATCCTGGCGAGTCCACTTCCATCTCGGCGAGTCCACTTCCATCCCGGTGAGTCCACTTCCATCCCGGAGAGTCCACTTCCATCCCGGCGAGTCCACTTCCATCCCGGCGAGTCCACTTCCATCCCGGCGAGTCCACTTCCATCCCGGCGAGTCCACTTCCATCCCGGTGAGTCCACTTCCATCCCGGCGAGTCCACTTCCATCCCGGGGAATCCGCTACCATCCCGGCGAGTCCACTTCCATCCAAGCGAGTCCACTTCCATCCCGGCGAGTCCACTTCCATCCCGGTGAGTCCACTTCCATCCCGGCGAGTCCACTTCCATCCCGGCGAGTCCACTTCCATCCCGGCGAGTCCACTTCCATCCCGGTGAGTCCACTTCCATCCTGGCGAGTCCACTTCCATCCCGGCGAGTCCACTTCCATCCCGGTGAGTCCACTTCCATCCCGGCGAGTCCACTTCCATCCCGGCGAGTCCACTTCCATCCCGGCGAGTCCACTTCCATCCCGGCGAGTCCACTTCCATCCCGGTGAGTCCACTTCCATCCCGGCAAGTCCACTTCCATCCCGGGGAGTCCACTACCATCCCGGCGAGTCCACTTCCATCCCAGCGAGTCCACTTCCATCCCGGCGAGTCCACTTCCATCCCGGCGAGTCCACTTCCATCCCGGCGAGTCCACTTCCATCCCGGCGAGTCCACTTCCATCCCGGCGAGTCCACTTCCATTCCGGTGAGTCCACTTCTATCCCGGCGAGTCCACTTTTCTCAGTAAATTATGAGTCAGTTCTCCACAGTGTCAAAACACCACCGCGACTCTCCAGCAACACTGTGGCTGGTCTCCAGCAACACCCTGGCTGGTCTCCAATAACATTGTGGCTGGTCTCCAGCAACACCCTGGCTGGTCTCCAATAACACTGTGGCTGGTCTCCAATAACACTGTGGCTGGTCTCCAGCAACACACTGGCTGGTCTCCAGCAACACTGTGGCTGGTCTCCAGCAACACTGTGGCTGGTCTCCAGCAACACTGTGGCTGGTCTCCAGCAACACACTGGCTGGTCTCCAGCAACACACTGGCTGGTCTCCAGCAACACTGTGGCTGGTCTCCAGCAACACTGTGGCTGGTCTCCAGCAACACACTGGCTGGTCTCCAGCAACACACTGGCTGGTCTCCAGCAACACACTGGCTGGTCTCCAGCAACACCGTGGCTGGTCTCCAGCAACACCCTGGCTGGTCTCCAGCAACACACTGGCTGGTCTCCAGCAACACACTGGCTGGTCTCCAGCAACACACTGGCTGGTCTCCAGCAACACACTGGCTGGTCTCCAGCAACACACTGGCTGGTCTCCAGCAACACCGTGGCTGGTCTCCAGCAACACACTGGCTGGTCTCCAGCAACACACTGGCTGGTCTCCAGCAACACCCTGGCTGGTCTCCAGCAACACCCTGACTGGTCTCCAGCAACACCCTGGCTGGTCTCCAGCAACACCCTGGCTGGTCTCCAGCAACACCCTGGCTGGTCTCCAACAACACCCTGGCTGGCCTCCAGCAACACCCTGGCTGGTCTCCAGCAACACCCTGGCTGGTCTCCAGCAACACCCTGGCTGGTCTCCAGCAACACACTGGCTGGTCTCCAGCAACACACTGGCTGGTCTCCAGCAACACACTGGCAGGTCTCCAGCAACACACTGGCTGGTCTCCAGCAACACATTGGCTGGTCTCCAGCAACACACTGGCTGGTCTCCAGCAACACATTGGCTGGTCTCCAGCAACACACTGGCAGGTCTCCAGCAACACACTGGCTGGTCTCCAGCAACACATTGGCTGGTCTCCAGCAACACACTGGCTGGTCTCCAGCAACGCATTGCCTGGTCTCCAGCAACACACTGGCTGGTCTCCAGCAACACACTGGCTGGTCTCCAGCAACGCATTGCCTGGTCTCCAGCAACGCATTGACTGGTCTTCAGCAACACATTGGCTGGTCTCCAGCAACACACTGGCTGGTCTCCTGCAACACACTGGCTGGTCTCCAGCAACACCCTGGCTGGTCTCCAGCAACACACTGGCTTCCCCTTAAAGCATCACCTATAATTAACCTTAACTTAGAGGACAGACGGATGTTAATTCCATCTTGTAACTCAAGTGGACCATCCCGGGATTCGTCGGTCTGATCACCAATGATTATCACAGACAATTCACCATCACCACAGACTCGACCCAACTTGTTTCCACTGGAACAATTCAAGAGTTCGGTACTGCCCTGGGTGAACTGACTCTTGTCGACCAAACTACCTTCCACATTACTTCTGAGGAGAATAAATTGAATAGTAAGGAGGAAACTACACAAGTGTCAGTAAGATCACAGTCTTCCACCGAGGAACAGAAAATTGGGTCAGGTGCGCTCAACAGATGGCGTTGACATCATCACACTCCATCTTTCCCTCCCTGCATCAAGACCTTTCAAATTTCTCCTTACAGTCCTAATTACCAGTTTTCATTCGTTACATTTTTTGCAAAATTTCTTAGGCTTATAAAAAAGAACATAGAGAGAGAGAGAGAGAGAGAGAGAGAGAGAGAGAGAGAGAGAGAGAGAGAGAGAGAGAGTGAGAGAGAGAGAGAGAGAGAGAGAGAGAGAGAG